TTTCTGCATCTAATGATATAATCATGTGGTTTTTGTTTTGACATCTGTTGATGTATTTAATTACATTTATGATTTTATGAATATTGAATCAGCCTTGCATCCCAGGCATGAAGCCTACTTAGTCATGATGGATGATTTTTGAGATGTATTGTTGAATCCGGTTCGCTAGGATCTTGTTGAGAATTTTAGCATCTATATTCATCAAAGATATTGGCCTGTAGCTCTCTTTCTTTGTTGGGTCTTTACCTGGCTTGGGTATCAATGTGATGTTAGCTTCATAAAATGATTTGGGGAGAGTTCTATCTTTCTCAATCTCCTGAAATACCTTCAATAGGGTTGGTATAAGCTCCTCCTTAAATGTCTTGTAGAATTCTGCTGGAAAGCCATCTGGTCCAGGGCTTTTTTTGTAGGTAGTTTTCTATTATGTAGTCAATTTCCTTGATTGTTATTGGTCTATTTAGGGTTTCAATTTCTTCTTGTTTCAACCTAGGCAGGTTGTGTGATGACAGAAAGTCCTCTGTTTTCTTGAGGTTTTCAAGTTTGTTTCCATACGGGTGTACATAGTAGTCTCTAATGATCTTTTGTATTTTTTTTATTTGAATTGGAGACTCACTGTCACCCAGACTGGAGTGCAGTGGCCGCTCCTGGCCACCATAGCCTCAACCTGCTGGCCTCCGGTGATCCTTCTGCCTCAGCTTTCCTAGTAGCTGGAACTACAGGCGCACGCTACCACACCGGGCTAATTTTTTTGATTTATTGTAGAGATGAGGTCTCGCCTGCCCAGGCGGGTCTCAAACCCTGGGCTCAGGCAATTCACTCACCTTAGCCTCCCAAAGGCACGGGATTACAGTCTGAGCCACCGAGCCCGGCGACCTTTTGTATTTCTTCAGGATCAGATGTGACCTCATCTTTTGTGTTTCTGATTGTGTTTATTTGGGCTTTTTCTCTCTTTTTCTTGGTCAGTCTAGCTAGGGGACCATCGATCTTGTTTATCCTTTCGAAGAACCAGCTTTTTGTTTCATTGATTTTTTTGTATGATCTTTTTGTCTTCTATGTCCTGGATTTGGACTTTTATTTTGGTGATCTGGATTCTTCTGCTGAAATTAGGGTTTTTGTGGTCTTGCTTTTCCAGCTTCCATAGGTGGCTTCTTAGACTGTTAATTTGTTTGTGTGTCATCTTTCTTTTGGTTTTAGAGTTAGATCATGTGTGTTTTTAATCTTTTGCCTGTACTCTTGTGAAGAACGTTGTTGTTCTTTTCTCCTTTTCTTCTGTGTTCAATACTTTCTTAAGTGTTTCTTGTAGAGGTGGTCTGGTGGCAGCATAGGTTCTTAGGGATTGGATATCTGGAAAGATTTCAATTCTCCCTCACTGATGAAGCTTAGCTTGGCTGGGTAGGTTATTCTTGGTTGAGATTGTTTATCTTTTAGAACTTCGAAGATAGGGCTCCAAGCTCTCCTAGCCTGGAGGGTTTCTGTAGATAAATCTGCTGCTATTCTAATTGGTCTTCCCTGGGAGTTAGTCTGACCTTTTTCTCTTGCAGCCTTTAGGATTTTTTCTTTTATACCTACTTTGTTTAGGTGACTTATTATATGTCTGGGAGTTGGTCTTCTCATTTGTTGTTGAGGGGTTCTCTGAATCTCTTGTGTTTGAATTTTTCATCCTTGATGAGATGAGGGAAGTTTTCTTGAATGATTTCATGAAATGTTTGTTTCAGTGTGGCTTCTGTTTCTCTCTCTGCTTCAGGAAGGCCAATTACTCAGGTTCGGTCTCTTGAAGTGATCATTCATCTCTTGAAGGTTTTGTTCTGTCTTTTTAAGCTTCTTTTCTATGCTTTTGACAGTGTGGATTAGTTCTGTGTTTTGGTTTGACAGTGTGGATTAGTTCTGTGTTTTGGTCTTCGAGCTCTGAGATTCTTTCTTCTGCTTGGCTAATTCTGCTTTCCATGCTTATTAGTTTGTTATTTATTTCTATCAGAATATTCTTTACTGCTGTTATTTCTGACATCAGCTCCTTCCTATTTTCCTCTTGTCTCTCCTCAATTTTTTAAATTCTCTCTATTAATGTGTTGATGTCTGGGTTTGTTGCATGTGACCAGTCATTCTGGGGGCTCTTCATTGTTTGTGGTCCGGAATCTGTTTTCTCAATGTCTGAACTCCCAAGGTTTTGTGTGAGACCTATATTCTTCTTTTGGTTTTTCTTCATTTGTGCAGTTTTCCCCTTCCCTACTTTTTCCTTCCCTCCACATCACTGTCTTCTTTAATTCTGTTATTCAGGGGTGGAGAGGTTGTTTTTACTTCTGTTTGTTCATCCTCCTATTCCTCTTTATGTATGTCCTCTTACTTTGTTCAATTCTGGAGTTGCACTGTAGGTTGTGGGTGATCCTTTTTGCAGTTTTGAGATTTACTTAAGGGGGGAGCTGTGATTCAGAATCCATCTGCAGGTCCTGGTATCCACCGACTGGTGTATGAATAATCTGAAACCCATTTCCCACTGCCTTGGAATCTGTCCATGCAGTGAGGTTGTAGTTTTACTCCCTGAAATAAAATGTGGTTAAAAGAGGGAAGAGAATGGAGCAGACAGTAGGGGGAAGAGGGGGGTGGAGAGAGAGAGGAATAAGGGTGAAAACAGACGGGTGTACTAACAAATGGAGAGGGAGACAAAAATCGAAACATAAAAACAATAGATCACTGCTACAAACTAACCAACTCCCATACAAAAAAAACTAAAAC